TACTTTTTATTTTAGTAGCCCTTCTGGCTACTTATTTTCTTTTTCAGCACTTATCACATTCTACCTTTGCAGAAAATATTACATGTCAGAACTTTTCTAAATCTTTTACAATACTGAATTTATATTCCTTTTATCATTTAAATTTTTTAAAGTCAATAATGGTGAATGTTCATTTTAAAAATTATTTTTTTATGTTGTTCCAGGTGAATATTATTTTTCTTTTTTTTTCTTTTCTTAATTATTATATTAATCGTTTAAATAAGTTTGTTTCAGGTCTGTCTATCAGGAAATGCCAATTAAAGAAGATATAAGAAGATATAAAGAAGAAGAATACCAAATAAATAAGATGTGCACTTCATATAGAATTCTTTTTTCTTTCCTTGATTATATCTTTTATGTCTTTGTGTATGTAGGTTTCTTGTGTAAATGTTTAAATTATATAAGATGATATTAGTTTAATGCTAAATAAAGATTAAAAAGCAGATTAAGCATTTAACTAATATGTAGGTAGGGATTAGAAGAAATTGTAGGTTTAGATGAAATTATTTTGAGTTTCCTTGTGGATCCTATCTTTTTAAAAATATTTTTAAATTATATTTAGGAATTCATCAAATTTTTCAAAATAAAAGTGTTAGAATATAAGTAAATGGCTCATAAAACTATTGCTATAGAAATAATGCTTTAAGTAGAATATGCTTATGAATGCATGCATGACAAGTGCTAATAATAATAAAAATTGTAGTAGGGCTATATAAGTAGTGATAGTAGGAGGTAGAAATTCTGAAACTGTGTGGAAATATTAATTTTTTTATTATCAATATTTTATATTTTCATGGCAGTGAATATATAAAATATTAATTTATCTGTGTGAAGTAATGTGTGTGCTTTATGTAGAGTTATATTTAATTAAGATATAATTTAATTTTTAGATTTAAATTTAAATTATATCTTAGAAATTTTTTTACTGTTTGTTTTGCATAAACATTTGATCAAAGATGGAATGTTTTGCAAATCTACATAAAAAAAAATTTATTAATTTTAAATAAATTTTTGTGTAAATAAGCATGGAACATGAGTCTCTTGCATATACATACATGTATATATATATACATATATGTATATCTTTTTTTGAAAATAAAATAAGTGTATTTTCTACGTTAACCATAGTAAGTTGCACAGATTATAAGAATCACTCTACTTTTTTCATGATCGATATTTCAGAATGTAACATAAAAATCTTATAAGATGTCGTATCTATCTTATTCTATGGTCTATGGTAAAGTATTGAAAATTGATTTGAGCTTCAATACTTTTCGTAGAGATGGCGTTACTAAGGAAAATAACAGTTATTCTCAGACTCTATATTATATTTGTGTTCATTGTTCGATGAAAATTAACAATATAACCTTAAAGTTAGATATCGTATATTAAAGTATCACGTGGGAGTGATTAGAAATAAATTTTTGAAGTTTTTTTATTATAAATGCTATTTCAAAATAGTGTGATTATATTAAAGTATTAATTTTTAATTTATAAATTAAATATAATCATTCGAGTCTCGATTGATAAAGTTAGCGTGATGGTAAAAATGAATATATATTAAAAGTTTGAAAATTAAATGTTATTACAAAAATATTGTATAAAAAATGAGTGATTCTGAAAAAGAGGATGCTCCCAAGACAACGGGTCCAGTGGACAATGCCTGGTCGTTAGAAATTCCATCTTTTAAACCTGAGGACAATCCTAACCGTTTACTTCAAGAAAGTTCATTTGCAACTTTGTTCCCGAAATACAGAGAACAATATTTAAAAGAACATTGGCCATTGATTCAGAAAGCTTTAGACGAGTATGCGATCAAAGCCGAATTGGATTTCATTGAAGGTAGTATGACTGTGAAAACCACTAGAAAAACATGGGATCCATATATTATAATTAAAGCTCGTGACATGATCAAACTTATGTCAAGATCTGTTCCTTTCGAACAAGCAATTAGAGTACTTCAAGATGATATTAGCTCGGATATTATAAAAATATCTTCTTTTGTAAGAAACCGAGAAAAGTTTGTCAAGAGACGTCAAAGGCTTATAGGACCAAAAGGATGCACTTTGAAATCCATTGAATTGTTAACAAATTGTTATGTTCTTGTACAAGGACAGACAGTGGCTGCATTAGGTCCTTATAGAAGTCTCCCTTTAGTTAGACGTATTGTTGAAGATACTATGAAAAATATTCATCCTATTTATAACATTAAAGCATTGATGATTAAGAGAGAACTGGCAAAAGATCCAAAATTAAAGAATGAAAATTGGGAGAGATTTTTGCCTAAATTCAATAGTAAAAATATTAACAAGAGGAAGCAACCAAAGAATAAGAAAGAGAAAAAACCGTATACTCCATTCCCACCTCCTCAACAAGAGAGCAAGATAGACAAGATGATAAGTACAGGAGAATATTTTTTGAACGAAGAACAGAAAAGAGCCAAGAAGAAGAGAGAACAAGATATCAAGCACCAGGAGGCTGAGAAAAGAAGACAAGAACGTAGGGCACAAGCGTTTGTACCTCCTGAGGAAGCATCTAAAGAGAAAAAAGAAGAGAAAGATGATATGAACTTAGATGAATTTAAGAAGAAAGTTAGTAATGCATTGAAAAAACGTAGCGCAAAATCATAATATTTAAATCACATCTTTAATTGTAAATTTTCAGAGTCATTTTTGTAAGATTATTCACATTATTTGATATTTTTAATCAAATAAAATATTTGCTGGTTACAAAACATTTGCTGGTTGTTTAAAAAACACTCTCCATAACTTTTGGAATAATTCCATCGTTTTATTAAAAAACTTTGTTCCTATGAGTTATAATATCGCGTCCTTAATGTACGAGATACAAATATATATAAGTATGTACTAAATGTATATACTCATATATATTTCTGTTTGGATTTTTAATATGATACATTTGCAAAATACAGAACCGTAGAAATTCAACGTGTACACCTTGAAGACAGGTATTCAGTCGAAAACAAACGTCCATATGAATGTATTTTCTTTTATTCCTATGATTATTTTTATTTGCAGAAATTGTAAATTTATTACAATTTCAATATCCAAAGGATAACGTACAACAAATTAAATTAAAAAGAAAAATTCTCTTCATTATTATCTTTAAATATACAAATGTTGTTTTCGCGTACCAAGTCTTCAATGTATTATTTAACTTAACGTATCAAATTGCAATTAAAAAGGATTGGGTATTCAACAATATTTAAAAAAAATCGATAAAATGATCAACGTATCGCAACGTAATAGAAAAAGTCGGGGAAGTATTCGTGATAATGTACAGCGTAATCTTAAACGTTTAAATATCGTTCCGTTTATCTTACAGCTTATAGATTCATGGAAGTACCGCTTTTTATATTTTAACTTACATCGTAGATATATTATTTACAATTGCACGCGATTATGCCTGGTTACTCGTGGCAAAAAAAATCTCGAATAATATCGTGTATTCGCTTCGAATTAATTCAGAAACGCCTTAGGACGGGAGACAGACGATTGAAAATAATCGCGCATGTTTAAATATTTACAACATCGATTCGCGAATTTGGAGAAAATTCGAAAGAAACGAGTTCCCCGTATTATTATACGCGTTTAATTATCTTTTTAATTTATTTTGTCCGTTCAATTATAAGATTTCGTGATAGAATTTCATTAGGAAAAAAATATAAATTGTTCACAGCGTTTCATCTTGTAATCGAATGATAAAATCGTTCGAATTAAAACACATACTGAGAGAGAAGTGCGCGATAAGAGTACACTCTATGCAATAATATTCGTTATCACGCGTCTATTCGAGATATTATGCACAGAACGAACTAATTGTTCATAAAATTTAAGCCAAATTTGCGGACTCGAAATATTTATAAGAATTTTTTAATAAAAGAGATTTTTAAACCCATATGTACAATATGCACCAGTTAAAAATACGATTAAATCTGAATGATACTGTCTAATAGCTTAGCTTTACCGGTTTTTAAGAATAGAAACGATCTTTCTCTTACGAATGTACATCGCTTTTCGTAAATCTAAGAATGTGTGTAAATAGGCGATTAGGGGCGCGTTCGGTATTATACAAAAGCTTACAATAATTCGATAGCGTAACTTCTTCGTGTACATATACATATACGTGTGTTAAATATCGTATGCGAGATGACGGCAGTCGGATCATTGTCGTCGTGAAAATAGTATCAGTGTACAAAAAATCGTTCTCTCGCCTACATATTGCTGTATAATAGTCGCTCCTAATATTTTTGCCTTGGAAAGACTCAACGTGTCGTAGACAATTTAGTCAAGATCAATCATCTAATATATTCTTCTAAGAAGACGAACCTTGTCATCAGGAACCGGATAGCAAATGAAAAAATTAAAGAAAGTAAAAATCAATTGATATAATCGCTGTTCTATGACACGTTGAGTCTTCGTGAGGCAAACACATCCAGCTATTCGCACAACCAAGTAAGTATACAATTTTTTTTTTATAGAAAAATAAATCTCTTTGTGAGAGAGTGGTAGCGCATGTCTTTGGATCGAGAAGCACCCGATTCGTATATATCACGATCGATCAATGATTTAACACAAATCGATGCGCCACGTATACCATGTGTATGTGTATGTGTCTGAATACGTTTGGTCGGCTAAGAAAGAATAGTCGATTTGAAAATAGCGTTTCTCGTCATTCGATCATTCGCTTAAGGCCGTGAAAATAAGAATTAAATGAAACGGTATCGCATTTTTAATCGTTTTGTTTCTCGTTGCACCAATGCTCGTTATTTTTCAATAAGAAATCGAGCATCGATTAAACGAGAATTTTTCAATATTTATTTCAAAATAATAATAAAACGGTAAACGAACTGAGAAATCGCAATCTATACGCGGTTTGAGATCATCGAGATATCAATGTAAATGCACCGGAATGAATATATATTTCTAGAAAACAATCCTTGCAAATGAATTCGACTAGGACATCGACGTTCCTTCCAATCATACAATTATATATCATCGATTAATTAAAATAACAAAAAAAAAAAAAAAAGAAATGTAGACTATATTTCTCATTCATCACAAATCAATTCCAAAGATTGTGTACAAACACCTTCGATTTTCTTCAAACATTCTTATCACATACTACTCTAAAAATAGCAAATAAAGACGATCTTCCTCTACGAAATCTTCAAAAAAAAAAAAAAAAAACAGGAATTCAATTCCATGTCTCCGCAATCTCTTTGTCAACGCACAGTCTCGTTAAAACTACGAATACGTCAGACCGATATATCACTCTTCTATAATATAAATCGTTTCTTCGTCCTCACGCGTCGAGAAAATCTTTTCGTAACAACGAACCCCTTTATTTAAAGTCGTCATTTACGGGTCCGATTGAGCAACTTCGATCTCGTATCGATTAGATCGTTTTCCCTTATCAGGTCGATCCTCCTTCTTCTGATCAAATATTGCACCCCATCGGCCCTTCGTGAGTGACGGCGGCACCGTTGTCTTCACGAGCCATTACTGGTTATACTCGGAAGCTAATGATTGTGGTTGTAAAGATGCCACCTCTGCGTTTCGGCGTTCGAGTCGCACTTTTCCGCGGTGATCCCCTTTTGCGCGTGGTATCTCGAGTCCACGCACACAGGAATTCTCGAGTGGCGGATCAAACCGCCCTCGAGATGCCTCCATTTCTGGTTCTCGCTACCGTCGCAGATCTGCATCAACAGCGTCGTGCCTTTCGCGTAGACAGGAAGTGTTAGGCAGAGGCCGTGATGCCTGATGAGGCCGTCCTTCGTCAGACCCCATTCCTGTAAGAAACCGTTCAAATGAGACTCGTATATTGCTTGCAATCGAGATTATAAATAAATCCTCCCTTCGTTAATTGATTGCAATAATATTGATTTTGCAATATGTCCAAAAATTTGATACTTTCTCGTGAGAATAATCTTCCAAAAATTATTCAATGGAATCTCTCACGCGTTATTTCCACCTTCTTCGAAAGATATTCGAAAGATATTCTAAGAATCTTCAATGTTTTCTTTTCCCCTTCAAAACTCCTCGATTCTTTAATCCATCTGTATAAAATACGATAGGATAATCGAAATGTAAAAATTGAATATATCGATCAATAATAGAAACGAATATTTATTTGTTTCTCGATGTGCTGGAATATATACCCGGAGCAGAGCATGAATAAAACAGAGAGCCGTACTTACTTGGTTACCACCGGTGTCGTGACACGGGTAAAGTCCCACGTTTCCATCGAGGAGATGGCCCATGCTGTCGAGACACGCGGAGCCCTGTTTCAACGATCCACCGGGTCCACCCTCGCTGGTCGGTATAACCAGCTCTGGATACACGTTTTTCAGATACCAGCTGAAGGGCTTGCAATGCAATTTCCGCTTCAGCTCCATCCTGTCTTGAATACTGAAACACAAGGGTAGGCGACGCCCGTTTTATTAACACGGCTCACGTTCGCTGACGCGTTTTAATGAAATCGGCTATCGGTATTTCGGCCCGTAAATCGAGCTCCTCCTTCTCCTCCTCCCGCGGCGGAGAGGAGGGAAACCGTAGAAATTAGCCCGTGATAAACGATCTCAAAGAAAAGAAACTTCGTTTCTCGAAGGAACTTTGGACAATGAATAGATTGTAAGCGGAAGAATAATGTGTGGGTGTATCGGGGGATTGTTGCCATCGATGGTTGTTCTCGAGGTAGAAGGATACCGGTGGAGGAATGGGTAACTTGGGAGGTAATTTATGTTGCCTCCAAGAAGGGATATACAGTTTCGTCGTCTCGTTTTCCTTTGGGTACCTGGCCGATTATTTGTAAGCTCAACACGTTCGCTGTTTTCGAGGATCCGTGAATAATTGGGGAGGATTGTTCGACACTTTGGCTAATAACTTTGCCTCGTTATTTTTGATCAAGTTATACGTCGATATTAATTGGTGAACGTGATTATTATGGAATATAAATTGCGTCGTACGATATTATATATCAATGTGAAATAACTGTGCATATAAATTTGATGTTATATTTTTCATCAACGATTATACGGCGACGAATGAAAATGCACGTTGAATCCGATTATTATCAAATATAAATTATGCTTAATAACATCGTGTCCAGTAATTTGATATCAGAAAAAGAAAACACCACCAATTATTAGAAGACATACGAATAATTGGCACGTACCAATTTTGATTTTAATAATTATCCGGGTATTATTATCTGCAGAAAGTATTCAATCATTTTTGATCGTTTCTTTCTCTTGTGCATCTAATAGATTAATTCTTCTAATTAAAAAAAAAAAAAAATCAAATCGTTCAATTTCATCAAAAGGAATGGTCGAATACCTTTTACCTTTTTTTAGATATGAGTTTAGAGAATCGTACTTACTTTCCATACGGTATGTTACGCGCTAAAGGGACCGCGTTGTAATAGAATTGTTTGTAATCGTCCATCCACACCTCGGCGGCCCTTCTCGTGTTCCGCGCGAAAACGTTGCCGCTGCCTCCGGGGAACGAGTACGGATGACGTTTTCGAAACACGTGGCCGACGCGCGAGCACGGGATAATCTCCAGGCTTCCCCCGCATTGCCACACGCGGAACGATATTTCTGAAAAGCGGGGATCGAATCACGTATTTTCCACGAGTATCCGCGGACAGACTCCGCCCGAGAGAGACACTCACCGAGATTCTCGCCGCCCCACACGTCCATCTGCGTGTCGTACTTGCCCAATTTCTCGAAATACGCTTTGTTGATGACGAAGAGGCCACCGGCTATCATCGGGGTCCTGATCGCCTGCGTAGGATCCTTTTGCCTCGCCTGCCTCTCCGTTTGACTCAGGTATTCCCATTTGAACACCAGACTCCAATCGAAACCACCCCTTAAATCGGCTGACGCGCCTACAAGGAATCGGGAAATTTGAGGAATTTTTCGATTGAGAAATTAGAAGATTAAAATTGGATTTTTTGTCAGTGAGCAGCGCACATCGAAATGAATAGTTGTTCCCGTGTGTGATATGCGAGCGAAGTCTGTGTTTTGCACAGTGGTTAAAACAGCGAAAGAAATAGAGGAAAACGGAATAGAATTTATGTCCGTCCGGGGATAAATGGTTGAGAAGAACAAGTGCGAGAGTTATTCGAGAGTTGGTTAAAAATGGAGAGTCGAGATAAAAGTTTTCACTTGTTTATGCGCTTAATTCTCCCTCTCCCTATTTTAAGTTTCTTCGTTCCTTTATTTTATATACGATTTCACGCGGTTTAAAGTGATCGGATTACTAAGAAGTAATACGAATTATTGGAAACGCTGGATAAAACGCGTCAGTCAAGTTGAAATGTTATCTCAATCCGAGGAGATTGTATAAAATTTTTATTAGACGTGATAACGATAGAAAAAAAAAAAGATGAGAAGAAACTTTAAATTTTTTTACCGATATATTGAAAGGTGTCCATGCTTATGACATCAATAACAGGGCAGACGACCCTTGTAGGATCCTCAGCCACCCTCTCGAGAAGTGGTTCTAGCCAATCGGCATTGCATTCACAATGCGAGTCGAGGAATGTTAACACGGTGGCGGTGGCTGCATCCGCGCCTCTCACCCTCGACCTCATCAAACCCTCCCTCTTTTCGTTGCGTATCACTCGCACTTTGTGTATCCTCGATAGCTCTTCACCGTCCTCCGCTGCAAAAAAAGTAGGTGAATTGGTCGTGGCACCGTTCGATGCTCTCGTCAGGTTGCAAGTTTCAAGTAAGTCACGAGGTTAAAAAAGAGATCTTGGTATACAAGAGAGGACGTCTAATCTATAAAGGAGAAAGTTAACTTACGATGGTCACTGAAATCGTCGACCAGTATGATTTCCTTGATCAAATGTTCCGGGCTCCTGTTCAGCACGCTGAAATCGAAAATGAATTTTCTGTTATATCATTTTCTCTTCTCGCAAAAGACTCGTTAGACGATCGTAACGAGAGAAATTTCCTCGCAGAAATTAAACGCTTCTAATTCCATCGTAATTTACCCTCGAGATATAGCCCGAACCTCTACTAAGAATTCTCTCTTAAATGAATTTCCCTAAATAAATTTGTCTTTGGCTTTTCTCTTTTCTTTTCTTTTGCAGAGGATGTTGTTGTTTCGAACGAGAGAGAAAGAAAATTTCTTTTCACAGTAAATAATTTCGTTTGAAATTATTATAACACGGAATAGAGAATAAGTCGTTGAATCGATCGTGATTGAATATTTAACATACAAAGGTGTAATATTCGTAACAACGACTACGGATATTATTACGAAAAGCAACAAAGGAGAAAAAACATTTGGCTATGTTTCCTTTCGTCGTTTCAAATCGGAAAATCATCGTAGACGAATTAATTTCATAAGGTAAAATGAATGATTTATAATTTTATTGTTGCTTTTTTTTTTTTTTACGTCATTTCTTCAAAATTCACGCTTGATTTATTACACGAGGAGTATAAATGGGCATGAAATGATGGAACGATGATTAGGAAATTCCATCAGAACTCGTCTCCCTGGACTCGGTGTTGAAAGTTTTCTCGCGTTTTCCGTGAAACTCGATCTAGTATTACACGTTGTACGCGTGGGAATTTAGCCGTACGTTTTATCAGTGAAGAAATATTAATCTCGTTTCGTAGAATTTTGTCCAATGCATTTTCTGTCTGTCTGTCGATATTTTCCCATTTCCAACGAATTTCCATTTAATCGCTGTTACTCTTCCTTAAATCGTGTCATGCAAATAAATTTTAATTTTCGAAAAACAAATTTGTTAATACCTGACGACGGTTCTGAGCAACGTCGACCTCGCCTCGTTATGAAAGGTAATTATCACCGAGGTTGGGGGTAGATCCCTTCTCCACTGCTTCATTCGACACCTGAAACAAGAACGGAATTCCTCTTGAAAATTCCATAGTCGTAATAAACAATTTCAAACAAGAGGAGAGGTCTCACAGCAAATAAACGAGATGAAATAATTAATCAAAGATTCCTCGATATCGGTGTTAAGAAGCAGTTAATTAACCTAAATGCTATCCGGAAACGGGACGGTGAATATTAAAAGGAATAAAAGTATTTAATTAACCAGAAGAACTCGAAATGGCTCGTCTAATGAGCGTTTACAACGAGACGTTGGACATGTTGCGAATAATTTAGATCATCTGGAATCCCTCTCGAATAGAATCGATGGAAGCTTCATCTTTTCTGACGTTATCTGTCGCCACGTCCGTTAATACGCTTGTTCCAATAGGATACTCGATTCCATTGAGCATGATAATGCGTTTCATCGATGATTAAACATCTCATATTAATTATACTCTGTGACAATTAGATAATCCATAGATTATTTCAATATTCGATATTGAGGTTCAACCAAATCTTCATCGTCTGTTCAACTCCACTTGCTTATTTCCACTTGTAATTTCTTGTAACTGTGTAACACATTCGATAATCCTCTTTCAAAAAAGTTCAAATCTAACGAAACATTTCATTTTCTCAGAATTCTCCATTCAATTCTATCATCCTCTGTATTGGACGCGAGTATATAAAATGGTCTTGGTCTTCAGTGATAGCGAGTAAATAGCGGGGGGAGGGGAAGAAAAAGGAGGGGGATCATTTCGGCGCGGCACACCGACACAGGAGGGTACATAAATGCGACTAGACGGTCAGAACGATCCCAATATGTCAGTTCCACTTTTCCTTCGAGATAAACTCGAGGAACGTGTACGGAATGCGTCCACGTGTGTATACCGCTTTCAACCACTCCGCAGCACTTTCTCTCCTCTTCCGCTTCTTCAACATCCTCCTCCTCCTCCTCCATTGCACCAGCAAAATTGTAAAAGTTCACTGATGAGATTATCGATCGCAGAAATTATTACTGGGACTGGGAAGAGAGAAAGAGAGAGAGAGAGAGAGAGAGAGAGAGAAGAGAA